AAAACATATTAAGGATTGTACATTAACATAAAACTGTTGTCCAAATTCAACAGAGAAACACACACACACACACATGAAGAGATGGAGAGTATGCATTGTATGGAAATGGCTACCAAACAGCCATCATAATTCATCATACAATGACAACAGGACAAATCAACAATTTACCATTTCTTCTTGGAGCAACTTTAATCCACATTATTTCCTTAGGGATTAATAAAGTATTCTGATTCTGATTGTTTCAGGATGACCTGCCATTATCCAATGACACATCTGCTTACCTGTATCTTTTGCTCGTTGCTCCTCCTCTTCTTTTCTATTTTTCTAAACCGAGCACCTGATGGCTTTGAACTTTTCTTGTCCATCTTCCATTGGTTTTAATTTTGGACTCCAGTATGAACACAAATCCCCCAACTCGAGGATCACCACAACATAACCTAATAGACCTACACCTTAGTTCACAGATTCACTTTGTCTAAGGTGTATTTCTGGGATTTCACACAACCCAGGATTCAAATCATGAATAAATGATGGACTTGGATATATAAAATATAAATTTTACATTGTTATTGATCCCTTTACCCCTAGTCCTAAAGTGTATATTTATTTTCTTACTCTTCTTATATATATTGTTTGTTTACTTGCACTGCTGTAAAAGGAGTCTCGTCTCTCTATATACTGGACTGTATGTAGCGGAGATGACAATAAAGTTTACTTTGACTTCAGCAGCGAAACACTTTTCGCGTATAGAATTTCGATAAAACATTGGTGCAGATAATAAGTCTGTATTATAATGTCTGGTGTTTTCGTGTTTGTTGTTTTGTTTTATTTTGCGAGTTGGTTATTAGATGCCGCTCCAGCCACCAGTGAATCCCCCGCCGCTCCGCCCTCTCCTCCCTGCCCTGTGCCGCAAGCAGCAGGTGCACCTCGCATACGGAGGGCGCCCTTACTCCCAGCAAATGGGTGATAGAAAACCGATCGGTGCCTGTATCATTCCCAATATGCGCTGGCTGATGTCGGGGCAGCATGAGTACGAGCATTGTTTATTTTATTTTGCCGATGCCCGTGATGCCGATGTACTGGCAAAAAATTACCAGAACATTTTCCGTTTTTCTACGGAATTTTGTCCACAGCTGCCTAAAGCATTCATGGTCCTGCAAATCTGTCCATCAATGTACATGTGTACTTTTTTTTTTTTTTTTGTATTCCAGTTTAGTTCTTTCTGGTGTCCAGCAATAAAGCTGCCCCTTTGAGTTTGTTTCATTTCCGTGTCTGAGTCTACATTTTGGTCCTTTCCTGTCTGCCTGCACACAGATCATGACAGTTATGCGCCTCATAAGCCTTTTAAAACCCCAGAATGGCAGCCATTGCCTGAAGGAGCGCAGTATTCATTAAATTCCTTTTAGGTAGCAAGCGCAGGCGCCAACTGGAAGAAGCATGGAGAGAATTCACAGAGCAGAACCTTCAAAATAGCACAGCACACAATAACCATTTAAATTCCTTTACATTATTAGGGGAATCTAAAACATTTTTACATTAAATGTCATACTTATTTCTCTAATTCTGATTCTGTAGGGAGCCCCTCATTTATTCCTCTGTCTGAAGCAAGTTATTATAGCCCCTGCACCAAC